TAGTTTGAAAGACACTGATATTTTTAACCTATTTCTACTCTTGTTAAATGTTTTTATAAAATTATAGTTTGAATAAAAGTCCAAAACAAATTAAGTGTTCATTCCACCATGCATACACATTTTATTCTAACGCATTAATTTCATGATCCACAGTGGAATTGACTTTCCACACTTCCTGTCTGAAATTCCGATTTCCACTAATCATTCTGTCTATAATCTTTCGGTGTCTTTATCTATTCCCCCATTTACTGATGTATTCCAATTTCTAGCCTTTCCTTTTTATTTAAATAACAGCTACCACCTCTTGGGTACTAACCACATGATCACTCTGTTCTCAGAGCTTTGCATGTTTTTGTTATTTCCGTTTGCACATCAACTCTGTGATATGTGTAATCACTTTCAAAATGAAGCCTCGGTGAACCCATCCAAATCTGCCCAGGAACACAGTCCAAGTAGGAATTCCACGCTCTCTTTTTCCGGTAACTGAAATGTGTATTGATAACCAATCCATATACTCTCAAAACATAACTGGGCTTCTGCCTATACCCTTTCTCCTGGTTCCCTATTTCTAACGACAGTTTCAGGATTCAGTCCTTTGAATTCTAACTACACAATCCCTACTCAAAACTCTCAAGAAGGGTTGGAGATAAGTCCTTTTATATGCTTTCATAGTAGCTCAAACATAGCTTTATCAGCATACCTAATGCATTTGCACATTATTAGCAGTTCATTTACCTGTCCTTTTTAAAGGGCTAGTTTTTCCCTGGAAAATAAGCCCTCTCCTGCTTCCCTAAGTAGTGAGTTTTAGAATGTAAATTTAGCAAGCCAGATAATTGCAAACAAATTATTTTGAAGTACCTCTTTAAGTTGAACAGCATTGCTAGGAATTGGATTTTGAATTGTAATGAGTGCAATTAATTATAAGAGAGTGCTTCTTTTGAGATGATGCAGTAGCTGCCATCATTCCTTGCAATGCCTGCCAACTGGGAGAATTTAAATGTTTCAACATTTGAATGGACTGTCAGAAAGTACACTTAAATATGGGAGAAGCACTGACTCCCTGCACAGCTCAAGGCACAACTTCTGTCTGTAGATGATAAGGGTCCATTTTGGCCCTAAATACCGTAAATATAAGCCCTTTGCCCCAGTTAGAATTAACAGCCATTCGGATGGGATTTCATGGGCTAGTCACATTGGTTTGCCCTGGAATAATCCCAACAGGGCAGCCCCTCCCTCCCATATGTAAAAGCCGACCAGCATCCTGAGTGTTGCAGACCAGCACAGACAGAACCTGCTCCTCCTGGTCCTCTCCATTCTTCTCATTTGCAAAAGTAGCAAATTTGGGGCAAAACACTCCTTGCCAGCCAAGGGCTAGTGGACGCAAGCTGACAAGTACAAAGAATGTAGAGCCTGATCAAACTCAACATTTTTCCTTTAAAAGAAATTCTATATTAATATCCACTGCCGTCCACTTCCTGCATAAGACAGTAAACTTTGAGAGGAGGGTGTCTGTTACTCATCTCTGTGGCCTAACATAGGACACAGCAGTTGCCAAAGCAGTTGGCATGTGATAAGTGTCAGCAGCGATGACTTCCGCTGAAGGCTCCTGCCTCCTGTAAAGCCTGAGGGCATTAGTTCCCATCTCTGAGGGTCCAGATGTCCTTGAACCTTTTGGAATTATACATCGCAGCTCTATTCCCCTCATCTCCTCTTGTTACTTGTGTCCATCCTGCCTCTCTGCCCAACCATAGTATAACCACAGTAATACATGAAAATCAAATAGTTGATATCATTCGGTGCTGTCAAGTCAACTACGACGCACAGTGACACTACGAACAGATGGAGCCCTGCCTTACCCTGCATCACCTTCTCTGCCATGCCCAAGCCACCGTTGTGCTCACTCTGCCAGTCTGCCTCCTTGACGATCTTCCTCTTTTTGCTGATTCTTTACCCCAGCATGGTATATTTTTCCAATTACAGGCTCCTCCTGATACCATGACAGAAGTATGTGAGACAGTTTCTTCCTCCTCGCCTCTCAGGAGCCTCCTGGTTGCACTTACTCCAAGACAGACTCCTTTGTTCCTTTGCCAGACACTCAATGTAGAACATATTCAACAAATACAAATGCTTGTAAGAATAAATGAATCTCAGCTTCCAAGAAACACATAATGATCAATCTTCTTCGCTTTACAGTGCAAAGGGCAAAGACTTTTCTGGTCTGGATCAGAAAGATGTTTGCTTATGAGAGGTTGTTTACCTACACATTATCTCTGACTTAGAAGATTAGTTTTTATACTCTGAGTGATAACTAAAAGTAAACTGTGAACATGAAATGAAGCTAAAAATTGAACATGTGACAAAGATAAAAATCTATACACAAAGAAAGTAAAGTTTCTTATATGCCAACACAATGGCTCCTGGTTAAGCGTCCAGCAGGTAAAAGGAGGAATGAAGATTCCCCATAGACCCTACGTATTGAGAAAAGGAGTTGAGTCACATAGCACCAAGGGTGTGGGGTGAGGAAGCTAGAGTTTTGCCCTGATTTAACATCTAAATGTTGGACGGTGATCTCTGTGTTCAGCAATTCAATCTGCACCTTGGATTACTGTGTTTCATTTGTAACATCTGAAAACCAGGGATGATAATCCCTTATCGTCTGTGGGTTTGGACAGGTATGCCAAAGGATTCTCCAATAGCATGTTACCTTTAGGAACCTTGGCTCTCCATCTTTCCCGGTTGATGTGCACCACCTCAGTCCAAGTGGTTTTAAAACTCTTATATTCGACAGAGAGGACAGAATTGTTGATCGGGGCACTTCCTTCTGACCCAGCGCTCTTGACACCTGACCGCTTCGCATCTGATGAGCTGATACTGTTCAAACTGGAGGAAGAAAAACACACCACAGAAGAATGTTAGTATTTGGGAAATATATGCCAAAGAATATGAATAGGTCCGAGAGACAGTGGCTTAGCATTCATGAAGTTTTTGCAGTGAAATTCCTTTGTCCTGATATTGGTAATTACTGTATTTCCAGATGTGACAGACAGGATATTTTATATCTTTAACAGCAGTAAAAACAAAGCAAAAGGAATATTTCTACTTCATGATTTTTTATATTTCTCATATATTTTCCCTATTAACTGGTCTCTTCTTTTTTGAATTGTGACTAGAATGCCCTACCATGATATATGAGATGAATAAATTTGAACTTAGACTCTGCTTAGTACACAGTTCACCTGCTTGCTTCCTTTAGGATTTCCTTTCCAATTTACCCAGCGACTCAATCCTCTTCCTTCCACAGTTCCCAGAACCCCTGTCCATTCTGGTATCCCCAGGCCATGAGAAAACAGAGAAGAACAGATTGAAGATTGGGGGGGACCATGTCATGAAATAGGCCTTTTGTGATATGACAATTGTTTCAAGCTTCAGACATGGGCAACTCTGCAAATGTTATTATATGTTTTCAGGCGGCCCAAACAGTGATTGGTATAAATGTAAATCCACTATCTACAATGAATGCTGCCTAGAGAAGTAGAGTATGTTCCAAGTCCCAACTGAAGCCCTGAGGGTCTTAGGGAGGGCTTCTGTTCTCTTTGTTATCAACCCTCCTTAAGAATCCTAGGGGCAGAGTGTCCCCTTGCCCAAGTTTCTCTTGCTTTACCCTCTATTTATTCCTTCTCCTCTGCCTGTTCATTCAGTCACCTTTATTTATACATTAACAAAATCTCAAGATAAATCAGTGGTTATTCAGTAGATTCTGATACGTTTTGATCCGTGTGTGTCAGAACTGTGCTCTGCTGGGCTGACTTTTTGGAAAGTAGGTTGCTACACTTTTCTCTTCTGAAGTACCTTGGGATGGACTTGAAATTCTAACCTTTTGACCAAAGACTCCCAGAAATAAGGGCTGTACTGCTAATAAAGACTAAGTATTTGCTTTAAAGTTGTTTGTACTTTCTCTGGGTTAGACTTTATTCTGAATGTTTTACACATATTGAATAATTCATTTAATTCTCCCAGAAGCCTCTGAGTATTACAATTTCCATTTTCTCAGCTGGGGAGATCAAAGCAACTTGCCCCAGGCTGCACAACTAATAAGTGCTGAGGTTATAATCTTTAACCTCAGCATTCTGACACCACGGTCAGTATGTACTTAATTGCAAATCTACACTCAGTCTAGGGATGTGCTGGCAGAATGTGATTTAAAACTTTCCTTTTTAAAAATCTACTTCATTCTCTTTCTGAACACAGAATTGGAAGTCAGTTCTAATTCCTGGGATAATTCTGATCAACGACACTGTCTTTCGGAAAGTTGGAAGGAGTCTAGGACAGCCTTGGTACTGCAGGTACAAGTGCTGCTGATGCTGCCGTGAGCAAAGCTAACTAACAAAGGATATAGGGGTTGCCAGTATCAAACGTCTGCCCAGATGAACTTTGGAAATGGTCCCTTGGGCAGCCCATCGTGTGTTATTGTTACTAGGTGCCATCGAGTTGACTATGACTCAGTGACACTATAAATAACAGATTGGAACCTCGTTCTGTCCCACACCATCATCATCTTCATCTCTACCATGCTCAAGCTCATTTGTGGTCACTGTGTCAATCCACTTCATTGATGTTGTTAGGAACCGTCAAGTCAGTGCAACTCACTGTGACCCTATGAATGAACAATAGATCTGAAGTCTTTCCTATCAGGTGCCATTCTCACCATCTCTGATATACTTGGGCCCATAGCTGCTATCACTGTGTAAAACCATCTCAGTGAGGGCCTTCCTATCTTTCGCTGACCCTCCACCTTTCCAAGTATGATGTCCATTTCCACAGAATAGCACTACCTAACAACATGCCCAAAGTAAGTGAGATGAAGCTTCATCATGCTTGCCTCCAAGCAGCAAGCACTCTGGCTGTGTCCTCTCCAAGATCGATCTGTTCATTCTTTTCAGTCCACGGGATATTCAGAACTCTTCCCCAATACCAAAACTCAAAGGCATTAATTCTTCTTTTGCAAACTTTATTCATTGTCCAGCTCTCAGATGCACAGCAAGTGATCATAAAACCCCCACAGTCTGAATCAAGTGGACCTTAGTGTCTAAAGTAACATCACTACTGCTTAGTAGTTTGGAGAGGTCCCTGTGAGCAGACTTTCCCAATGCAACACTTCTTTTGACTTCTTGACTGCTTGTACCAAGGGTCCAGGGGTAATCTGGGAATATTGCTAGAAAAGGCTATTCCTTGGAAAGAGATATTATGTTTAGAAAAGTGGAGAGTCAGAGAAAGAGAGGAAGACCCTCAGAGAGATGGATTGACAGGGTGACTGCAGCAAGTGTCTCAGAGACGATGAGGATGGCACAGGGTATGGCAGGATTCAACTATATTGTTGATAGGGTCATTAATAATTATACTCAATGGCACCTAAAAATAAGAACAAAAATTCAAAGTGTGTTAATTATGGATCCAAGTATGATGAAATTGATTGTTGACAATTTCAATCTTTTCTCCATCTATCACAGAGCTGTCCATTAGCCCAGTGCTGAGGGGTTTTGTCTTCTTAAAATTTAGGTATAATCTGTATTGAGAATACTAAGCCATCCATTGTTGTTGTGTTCCTTGGAACTGACCCACAGCTGACCCTATAATGGGTTGCCAGAAGCAGTAAATTGCATGGGAGGAGACTGCCCATCCTTCTTCCACAGAGCAACTGGTGGATTCCAACTTCGTGATTCTGGGATTCCAATGCAGCTTCTAACCACTAGGCCACCACCCCTAAAGTGTACTAATTGGTATGATTTCAATTTCTCTGAGAAAAGGAAGGAGGCAGATAGATCTTTCTTATAAAATAAGTGATCAAGCATAACCTCACTATGAAATACCACAACCTGCCAGAAGACTAATCTAACTTCATAGGCAGGTCAACCGTACCCTTGTCCACTGACCTTGAACGTCTCTGACCTGTCCCACCAGGTTGGGAGGTATCCTCAATGACTGGGTTCACAATCTTCTCAGTCATGTCAGTGAGCACAGTGAAGGTAGGTTCCACAATGAAATCAATGAAGCCTAGAGAGAAACACAACGGTTGAGAAGAACTGAAGATTAACTTGGGGTTCCCTCTAATTTCTCAAGGAAACGGAACAGTTTTTCTTTTAAAGTTCATCTGAAGCAGGCATTTTTAGTATCATTTTTGATAGGATACTAGAAGGGCATATACATGACATGATGTAGTGTTCAAAACCCACAGGACTGTATAACATCACACCCCCCCATTTAATGTAAATAACAGACTTTCATTAATAACTATGTTGTTCACTTATAACAAATACACTACACAAGGAAAGTTTGCTAATTACAAGGAAAACTGTAGTGAGGAAAGGAGTAAATGGAAACTCCCTATACTTGTTGATCAATTATTCTTTAAATTTAAAAATTCTCTAGAAAATAAACTATTAATTAAAAATTTTATCCATCATTCACATAGGAACTCCAGAGTACATAAGAGAGGAAAAAATGGATTTTATTGACTTAATATATTTCTTGCTTTGACTATCATGAGTTCATTATATTTCTCTAACACAACTTTCCTAAAGAGATCTGGTGGCTCAAATGGCAAAGAACTGTACTTCCAAAGAAAGATAGATGGTTTGACTCCAATAGCTGCTCCACAAAAGATGGGAAATTCCTCTCTGTGTGATTTACTACTGTCTCTGAAAACTCACTGGAGGGTCAGCTATGGGTTAATTTCCACTCAGCACCAACATGAAAAAGTACAACATACTTTTGAGTAGATAATAGCATAAATCACTTTTAAAAATATTGTTAAACCTCCACTGTGTTATAATCTATGTGATATGAGCTGTGTAGAAGGCCAAGATAAAAAGCAAGTTCCTGCTTTTTCCTTATCAAATCCTTACTATCTTTTAAGCCACTATATTTCCCAGCACTCATCAACATTTCTTCATTGAAATACAGACAAACTCAAACTCAAAATTCTCTAACATTCCACAATATTGGCAAAGAAATCTTTCTAAAACACAGACTAGTAAACTTGTTCTGTAAAGGACCATAACGCAAATACTGTAGACTTTGTAGGCCACATGCTCTTTGATTGTAACCGTTGTTAAGCGTCGCAAACGACTTGATGGCACGTAACAACAACAACAACACTTTATTGGAGCAGAAAACAGCTACAGGCAATAGGAGATAGGAGAATGCCTGTGCTTAATGGTGTTTCAACAAAAATCTATTTACAAGAACAAAGGTGGTTGTTGTTGTGTGTCATGGAACCCACACATTATGGGCTTTCAGAGACAGTAAATTGCACAGGAGGAGACTGCCTATGTTTTTGCTGCAAAACAGCTGGTGAGATTGAACTATGTGCATTTGGGTTAGCAGCATAACCTTTTACAACTAGACCACCAGAAAACAAAGCACATTGTTTTATAAATTTTCAACATAACCTAAATCCTTTAGTCATGCCTTATTTCCTACATGAACATATGTTATGTGCCATCGAGACACCTGCGACTCATAATGACCCTATGTACAATAGCTCTGAACTCTGCCCTATCCTGAGCCAGTCTCACTGTCTCTGACACACCTACACGCTCCCCACGCCCAGTGCCCCAGTTTCTATGTCAACCCATCTCATCCAGGGATTTTGTCTCCTGCATTGTCCCTCCACTTTTCCAAGCATCGTATCCTTCTCTAAGGATTGGTCATTCCTGGCCATGTATGTGAGGTGAAGCTTCAAAATCCTTTCCTCCAGAGAGCAAGCTGGTTTCACCTTCTTCAGGATAGACCTGTTTGTTATCTTGGCAAAGTATCAGCACATGCTATTCTTAAAAATTATAAAACATGGGCCTGACTTTTGCTACAAACATACTCCTTTACTGCACTCAGGAACTCATCCACTGTTGTTGCCATATAAAACTGCAGTTCACTGACCATGATGGCTGGTTCTAAATGTCCCATTTCATATGTTCTATTTCTCTTTCCTGAAAGACCAAAGATCTTTCTGACCACCCCTACAAGATAATCTTTCTTAAACAGTGCCTAATTCTGCCTTAGAACTCAACTCAAAGATTACCCTTAAACATATCATTCTGGACTCTTTCCATCTAACAGTCCATACCATCTGTTCTATGTCCTATTCTACCAAGTATAAAATTTTACCATATTATTGTACCACTGTAACAGATTTTGTTTTCATGATGCTTTTGCCACTACCCATGGATAGTTTGATTCTCTTGAAAACAAGCACTAGTCTCTCTTTGTTTTTATAATTTCTATTATATTGTGCCCATTAACTAACAGAACCTTATTATATTATTAGGAAAAAGAAGTTCAAACTAAATTTAAAAATCAATAAATCAGTACTGAATTTATTTTCTTTTTTAATGACTTTAGCATGAAGGACTCTCCTTCACAGGGTTGCTATGAGTCGCCTGCAACTCAACGGCACTTAACAACAACAACAACAATGACTTTAGCTTCTGTTAAGGAGATTGCTGATGACATTTCATTTATGTATGACACATATACCCTCTTCCATATCTAAGAATGTAGGAGTGTAATCTATTTATCTAATAAATACTTTTTAATATTTTCCCAATACTTTTGCAGTGCAAAAGTTATTCTTTCTAAAGGACAAAAAAGTGGGAGTCCTGGTGGCTTGGTGGTTAAGGAGTTGTGCTGCCAAACCAAAGGCACACAGTTGGAACCCACCAGTTGCTCGGCAGGAGAAAGATGGGCAGTCTCCTCCATGTAATTAACTGTCTTTGGAAACCCACTGGAGGGTCAGCCGTGAGTCAGTTCCAACTTGATGGTACATAAAAACAATGTCAATAAGTGGGGATTATAAAAAGGAGTAGAGAGAAAGAAAGAAAATAAATTAAGGGAGAAATAGCAAAGGAAAGAATACATTTAAAGGAGTCATTCCTGGAAGTAGGAAATGGGCCTGTTCCAGAAACAGGGCTATTGGAAGTAGAACAGCTGGGTGTGGAGAGATCTGACAGTGAATTTCAATCCTGAATGCAGAATGGGGTGAAGCAGAATGGGCTTTCTGCCAATGACACTTGTCCTCTGCTTGTAAACTGGAGGTCCCATTTTCTTTTGGCAGCAATGATGGAGACATCAGAGTGTCAGTGTCTAAGCTTTACATGCGCCAGACACATGCCAAGGAGAAGAATGAGGACCGTGGCCTCATCAGCCTCCCCAGCCAATGCTATGAGCACAGCACGGGGGAATGGAGTCACGCCCAAGCCAAAGCACCATTATGAATAACTGAGCTTACACTTACAGACATCTTCCTCTGTTGTTTTTATTCCCCCTTCATTCACAGTGTTGGCAAATACACACCTACTTGTGACTGAGCGACCATTGTTGATTTTCGATCACACAGAGGAGAAAAAGGCAGCCCCAACTCTGCTTCTCTGTCACCCTAGAAAAACAAGATGTCACAGTCAATTAAGAAATGAACCACCCAAAGTTTATTTAATGAGGGGCTGTGCAGCCTGCTGGTCTTCATTTTCATTTATATTACACAATAAGTAATCATCATAGGTCCTGAGCATCTGAGTAAAAGATAGGAAGAGGCCAAATCCCCTCTGTGGCCCAATTACTCCACAGACTGCGAAGGCACAGGCTGTGGGGAAAAGAGCCTTGATGCACAGGAGGAAGTCATTCATGGAAAAGAAGGAAAGCAAGAAGTCTTGCAGTCCAGAGTCAACACTGGAGTGAGAAGTTCGAGTTTTTACTCAAGCTGTCTACTTCAACTGGTGGTCCACTCCCCTTTCCAGCTGTGGACACACTAGAATCCAAGACACAAACTCTTAATTGGGTTACTCAGGTCCATTCTCCCAGCACCACTAGAAACACACAGAACGGGAGTGTTTGTGGGGACTGTTTATAATGAAAAGTGGATCAAGAGAATCAGCTCTGAGGGTTATGCTTTTACTTTGAAATATAATCCAAATTTCCAAATGCAATTTTAAAGAAGTTTCTGTAGCCCAACTGAGCTTTCTTGTTTGAGCTATAAAATTTAAAATCTCTAGTTAAGTAGTGAGGAAACATTTTTCTTACACAGGTTACTCACTAAGGTTCATAGCATGTGGGTTAAAATAGTATCAATAAAGATAATTTACTGAATTATAATTACTGGAAAATAGTTACAGAGCAGTGAGTTAACATTCATTTCCCAAAAGGAAAGAAATTCAATATGGCTGATTTTTATACTGCCTGTGGCAAGTTTTTATTCAGTTTGAGCATATGTGTATTCAAAATAAGATTTCCTTTACAGGAGAAAAATTCAAATATTTAAGAAATTTCTTACAGTCACTCCTTAATAATTATATATATAAAAGAATAATTTAAGTGTGTAAGTGTGTGTGTATGCATATCTATCTATCTATCTATCTATATACATGAATAACTGAAGTATTTTAAATTCATTATTTGGTCACAGACTAAACATAGCTATGTTGTTGTGTATCATCAAGCTGAAACAGAAAAAAAAAACCAGCAGGTTTTCAGAGACTGTTAAACAGGGGGAGATTGTCCACTCTTCTCCCATGAAGTAGCTGGTGGATTAGAACTGAAAGTTTTAAGGATTGCAGTACTGCTTCTTAACATTAGGCCACCAGAAGGAATAGCAAGCAAAGTATATAATGAGGGGGAAATGGAGATTTTGCAAAAATCTTCTTACTACTATTAGAGAAAATAGCTGCTTGGAAAATGACCTTAAATAATTCCTTGATTAAGGATGAATTTTCAGTCATCCTTGTATATATAACACAGTAAAACCTGGATATCTCTAGTACTGAAAGCTCCTTGAAGCTCCTTTGAGAACTACTCTGAGACCAAATTCCAGCAAAGGGAAAGGCATGCATGCTGACTTACGGCATGTCCATAAGATGGTTAGGAGTTCATGTGTTCACCCACAGACTAGGGAAGGAGACACAGGTCATTTAATTCTGGAAGAGCCTTAAGAATGTACATGGTCCAACTTTCTCCCAAGACCTTTCTCCCTCCAAATATTACAGATAAGAATATAAAAAAACCCAAGGTGTGATTTGTACTCCCAGATCACAACCAGATGAGGTAAAAACTCCAACCAAGGGTTTTCTGGTCTTTTATAAGTAGTTACCTGTAGTTATACTTCATTATCTGATTTTGTTCACAGTTTTAAGATAAGTAGGAGTGTAAAATAGACAGATACCACTCAAAGTTTCTCCATTTAAACCAGAATCACAGAGTAATCAGTTTCCAATAATCTGAGTAACCAGAGAAGGACAGTAACCAGCTAGTTTATGAGATAAAGTTAAAGGCAGGATTAGTAAATAATGTTGTATATAATCTTAGAGGCCTCTGAATACACATTGTGAACTTCCTTATTGAATTAATAAAAAATGTTTAAAAATTTAATTTCACAATCAATATATTCTTTCTCCTTCAAGTGTAGGATCTCATACTCCAAAATAGACATTCAAATGGCACCTTCTGTTGAGATGAAGGGAATGTGTGTGTCTTAGTAGGAGACATCTCTGTCTTGGTGCTTTGCATGCCTTGATCCTTCTGTAGCTTTGTGTGCTTTTCAATGTCATGCATACTTACTGGAAGGAGCTTGAGCTGTGTGGTGTATTATATGTTGGCCAGTGGTTCAGAAGAACCAGATGCACCTCAGAAAAGATGGGCATTGTCCTCACATAAAGATCTATAGTATTGGAAACGCAATAGAAAGTTGCAACAAGTCTCAATCAGCTTGACAGCAGTGGACCTGGTTTGGGGTACATTCACTGGATGTCATGGCTATTCTTGTAGGAAACACAATTCTGAGCTTTAGAATGTATAAAATGTAAAGATAATTGGAACAATAGTTTCTGTAGATAACTTGATTCCAAACTGTCACACCTGGCTTTGGAGTTTTATAATACGGGATTATCTGCTGGGAAAAAACAAAACAAAACAAACAACACCACAATCCAATGAATTGTAATTGAGACATGAGTTAAAAATTAACAAATTAATCTCACAGGGCAGACTCAACATGTCCACCACTTTGTCAAGTCATTAGAAAAGATAGATGTTTATGTAAAAGGATTCTTAGGGTGGTAAGTTACCTGTCTAAAGAACTCTTCCAGAAGTGACATTGTCCAGCGATGATGGAGGTCCCAGGCTTTCGCTGGATGGCTAATATCTGCTGTGTGCAGCATCAGGGATAAGGCTTTTGGCTTTTCAATACTGTGAACCCAAAGGAGCCAATATGAGATAGTCAAACTCTTCAGAATCTCAGTAAGGAAAACAAGTAACAGTCAACTTTAAAAATTTCTTCTCATTGTCTCATCTGAAACCCCACTCTGGCTGAACAAAGACACCATTTTATCGTATCATGGGTGTAGTCAGCAACTTGAGCTTCTTGGGTATGGCACTGGACATCTCTGCCTCAAATCATTTCTACGCCAACCAAAGAGAGTCAGAAGAGTCAGCAATCTATTTTTATTTGCTTATTTTGCACTGACGAGACTTCTGCAAAGTCTGCTTCCCAATGGAAAAGATTTTATATTCTAATTAGGGTGAACCCTTACTGATCCTGATGATATATACCTAACTTTGATATGGTTAATTACCCTACTTTCTCCTCTGACCATATTATAACTCCACACCATAAAGTCATATTCAAGGAAATGCTGTTTAAAAATCCGATGACAGGGGCAAGGACTAGGTCAGGCATCTAGAGGTACAGAGGATGCAAGAGGTCCACTCACGCTTCTGGCTGCTGCAGAGCAGTCTTCATCGCTTTGATCTGCTGGAAGTGACAGGACATATCGGTCGCCATCACCATCTCAATTACCAAGGTCCGAAACTCCCTTTAAGGGACAGCACAAAAAGAAACAAAATGAATGCAAAAAGTAAAAAGTATAAGTTAGTTCATTTTTGTAACTTCTAATTAAAATAAATTATTTCTGACATTTCTAATGTATTCTAAATTTTTTAAGTGGGCTTTTGATTAGGACTAAATGAATGTTAAGGACCAAAGAGAAGATCATTCATTAAAAACACTCCATGTAGAATGTACTTATTTGGGAAATTAATTCAGTTGAAAAAAAATTCCAATTAAGTAAAGAAACATGTCCTTCTCAACAGATTCAAAGTTTTAAGGGGTAATTAATTTGAAAATGATCTCTAGAGGCAGATTGATAATCCATATTATACTAATCAACTTTATTAAAGTTACAATTTGCACAAAAATATATTTTATGTTTTCATAAAAATGTACAATGTAGAGGTTTTATCTTATTGAATATTTTTGTATAGAGATTTAAATATAGAATGTTGTTGTTGTTATGTGCCATCTTGTCGCCTGCAACCCATAGCAACCCTATGGACCTCAGCTCTGAAGCTTGCCCTATCCTGAGCCAGTCTCACTAATTCCTACACATCTAACCCCATTTCCACAGTTACTGTATCAATCCATCTCATCCGGGGTCTTCACCACAACAGTCAAGTCAAGATACAGAATATTCCCATCACCCTCAAACTCCTTTTACTTCACCCCTTCCCAAGCACCTGCTGCCATCATCTGCTGCCACAGGTAACCAATGATCTTTGTTCTGTCACTTTACCAGAGAGTTAGTACTTGATTCATACACACACTTTCTGTCTCAAAAATGATTTGGGATTCCTTCATGCTGTATTCTGTTCTGATTCACCCATGTCCTGGTTCATTGATGGTCCATTTGTTTTTATTGCAAAGTGTCATTCTATTGTGTGAGTACACTATACTATGATTTATTTATCAACTCACCATCTGATAAATACTAGACAATTACATTCTAATTTTAGACAATTGTGGACAAAGCCTTTAAGACCATCCATGTATAAGACCTTGTATGGTCAGATTTTTAATTTTAGGGGATGAATACCTAGGAGTAGAACGGATAGTTTACAGGATGGATACGTATTTAGAAGAAACTGTCAAAGATTTTTTTTTCCCCAAAATGATTTTATAATTTTATATTTCTATAATCTGTATGAGTTTCCATTTTTCTATATAGTTTCCAGTTACTCAGCTGTCAGTCTTTCATTTCAGTCATTCAAAGAGCTGTGTAATGGTGTTTCTTTATGATCTTAATTACATCCTCCTGATGACTAATGTCAAGGAGCTCTGAAAGCCTAGAAGTATTTGTGCTGCAATTCCAAATGTAAATGGTTCAAATCAACCAGGTGTTCCTTGGATGAAGGATGGGCAATCCCCTCCCATGGGATTTACCGCCTCTGAAAACCTGCTGGAAGGTCATCTGTGGGTTGATTCTGACTCTGGGGCACACAACAACAAGAACAATGACTACGGCCAAGCACCTTTTCATGAATTTATAGGCCATGTTTATATCTTCTTTTAAGAAAAATCTTTACCAGTCACTTTTCATCTTAAAAAACTGAATGTTTGTCTTATAACTGAGTTGTAAGAGTGCTTCGTATATCCTGCATAAAAATTCTGTGTAAATATGTGAGTTGTGAATCATGTTTTCCATTCAGGGCATTTTAAATTAGCTTTTAATAATAAAAAGCTTTAGTCTTTTAAAGAAGGCGTCATGTTTTTGTTTTATTTCTGACAAAGTTCTGCCTCTCCCTAGGTTTTTGCTAAGTTTTCTCTGGAAGTTTGATGTTATCAATTTTTAGTTATTTCTAAAGAATGGATAAGGGTCTATTGAATTTTTACCTATTTTTGCCATTTTCCGATGGTTTGATTCGTGGCTTATAATATGTTTCCTTATTTTTCACAGCATATTTAAGATTCACTATATCTCACTTCTTCTTCTCAGAGTCAGCCACAGTTTGTTATGATCTACACAGTCAAATGCCTTTGCATAGTCAATGAAACACAGATAGACATTCC